AGAACACTTGATAGTCCCATTCCTCAATAAGTTTTTTTGTGCTTTTCTGATTCTCATTCAACCCTGAATAAGGGATTACAGTAGCTGATTTCAAGCAAGTTCAAACCATTGTGAAGGATCAGGAGAAAAATGCCGGCATGGACAAAATGCAGGCATGAAGAAACTGACCCAAGAAGTACATTCAATGATTGCATTGCTTGTTTAATTAATTTTCTTCCTGATTCTAAGCTGAAGGGATAACAGTAGCAGATTTTAAGCAAGTTTAAATAAAAGTTGTGAGAGATCAGGAGAAAATGCCAACATGGACAAAATGCAGGCATGATAAAAATTTTCCCAAGAAGAATATTTGCTAGTCCCATTCCTCCTGAACATTTTTTGGGTCTGATTCTCATTCAAACATTCTCCCTTTGGGGCTCCAAGGATGAGTAGATTGTGACCATCACATATAGGAACCCTCCAGGCCCCTCTCTTCATCACAGAAGGCATCAATTAGGGCTTATCTGGGTAAAAAAAGACTTTCTTTTTATATTCAGAGATGAAATATGAGCATCCTTCAGGAGATGAAAAAAACTTGAAGACAAATCCCTGAATTTAGTTCATCTTAAAATTTAGGCTGTCCAAAATTGATGCTAAGGGGTCTGGAAGGGGTTATAATCATGGTCACAGCTCACCCTTATTTTGAGCTTCATCCTGATTAGAGGGATTCTATTGAAATTCCTCAACAGCAGTAGAACAGAAGAGGAAACAAGCAAAAAAAAGTAAGAGCACAAAAGGACCAAGTGTGACATTCAGAAAGTGCATTAGCCCAGTGTTCCCCAGCCTGTGGGTCCACAGAATTTTTTATCTGGTCCTGAGGAAATATTCTTCCACATTATACATTTATCAAAAGTAGCAATGAAGTCTGTCATTTTTTTCTAAATTAAAAAAAAACTGTGTTAATTGATATATTACCTGATGAAACAAATAAGTTGGCTTCTCTTCTTCTAACTTTTCAGACAAACTTCCACCTGCTGAAAGAAAATATTTTAATTTCAAATTCAGCGAAACCTTTACTTGAGCCCACCTATGTAATCTGTGCAGACATTTCACTGTGCTGTAGCTGCTTAACTGGTTCTTAATTTATTTTCTCAAAAAGTAGAAAAAATTTTAATACCTGTCATAAAGTCTTTCAAGCAAAGCTTTTTTGAGTGTGCAAACATTTTATGAAACTCTGCTAGTTTGTAGAAAAGTTTTGGAAATTTGCTGGTCCAAAAAATGAATTCCATGGAAATTTGCCACCCCAAAGGCCACAAAGGTTGGAGAACACTGTCATTAACCAATTATTGTCAAAAAATAAATAAAATCAACTTGACCAAACAAATAATCTGACATCAACTTTCAAACTTGAAAGTTAACCCAACTGAACATAACCTCCCCTTATCAGACCTAAGGCTTAACCTCTACCCAAATATAGTTGGCATAACTTCAACACCTAACTAAAAAAAACTCAACTTTCTAATTTGAGAACTTCTTGTTTTGAGACTTTTTGTTTACTGCACTTCATGCATCATTTACTCAGTGTTCAGTACATTCTTTATTATCTGCACATTCTGTACACCAGATGCTTTTTTCTATTTCCTGTATGGTTTAACCTTTTTTTTTTCTCTTGAGCATCACAGAGAGGGACATGTTTCCAGGACCCTTCAAAAATACTGCCAGAACACTTGAAAAGCAACAAAGAGACAGAAGTCTTGGCAAAAATCACTCAAGATGTAAGAATGCATGAAAACCTTCTTTTCTTTTCATATGCCCATTCAGAACATACAAAAAATACCCTACACTAGGTTCTTCACTCCCAACCAGCATGAAAAAAAAAATCAGTGAAAGTATGCACAATAAGTGCTGAAAAAATATGTACACATAAGACTTCAAACATGTTTTAATCTCTTGTCAGCGCGGATCCAAACCCTAAATAATAAAAAACGGGGGAAGGGGCGGGGGTCGGTTGGAGTGTCCTGCTCAGCATTTATGGACCCGTCAGCTGGTCATAGTACCACCAGCACCAGCAGCAGCACCAGCAACAACACCATCAGCAGGGCCACCAGCAGGCAATGACGACCAGCCAGGAACTGATTGCTGTCCAGTCTGTCATTGCTGGGGACTTGCCGGTCATTGATGACGTCATGGCCACCACGTAGGTGCATCAAGAGTGTCCCCAAGTCAAAATGTCCTCAAGTCAAGTCTTGTTTTCCTATAGACTTACATTATATAATTTGTAATTGGTATTTTATGGAAGAAATATTCTTCAGAATTCCATGAAAAAATTGTTTGCCACTTGAATTTGAATTAGTGAATGCATTTTCAACTCAATAAGAACATTTGGAGCATATAATAGTGTATCTCTGTACTGTACATTAAAATTTTGGAATCTACAAAAATAACACTCCAGTGAAGAAAAATATAGAAGTCCCTCACCTATGCTGGAGGTAATTTTTTAAAATTAGCTAAATGGATGGGTAAATTGGTGAGAGAAATGCCCGAGAACATTTCTTACATCAAAGGGCTGGAAATATCTGTTTCTCGTAATTTGACCTGGAATGTATTTGCAATTTCATCACAAAATGTCCCTATGTTGAGTCAGTGTCCTCATGTTGGGCCGTATTTATTAATTTTTTCTGGGAAAATAAGTGTCCCTATGTTGAATCGTCAGCAGGTTGAGGTGTCCGCATGTGGGGGTCTCACTGTATTTCTTTTACAACAAAGTTCTCTGTATAACGAATTTTTATTTGGTCCCATAAAGAGGGTTCCCTCCTCATATTATACAAGTTTTCTGCACCAATTTTTTTTCTGCTTCTTTTAGTTCATTTTTCATTAGTTTTTTTAGAGAGAGAGAGAGAGAGAGAGAGAGAGAGAGAGAGAGAGAGAGAGAGAGAGATTCCACCTGTAGAAAGTTTAAATGAAAATAGTGAGTGACAAGAAGAAAAGGCTGGTATGAACAAAATGCAGGCAAAAAGAAAATGTGCCAAGAAGTTCATACAATGATGTCATTGCTTGTTTAATTACTTGTGTTCCTAATCATAACCTAAAGACATTACAGTAGGAGATTTCAAGAAAGTTTTAAATAAAAGTTGTGAGTGATCAGGAGAAAAATGCTGGCATGAAGTAAATACCCCAAAAGAAAGAACACTTGATGGTCCCATTCCTCAATAATTTTTTTTTGTGCTTTTCTGATTCTCATTCAACCCTGAATAAGGGATTACAGCAGCTGATTTCAAGCAAGTTAAAACCATTGTGAAGGATCAGGAGAAAAATGCCGGCATGGACAAAATGCAGGCATGAAGAAACTGACCCAAGAAGTACATTCAATGATTGCATTGCTTGTTTAATTAATTTCCTTCCTGATTCTAAGCTGAAGGGATTACAGTAGCAGATTTTAAGCAAGTTTAAATAAAAGTTGTGAGAGATCAGGAGAAAATGCCAGCATGGACAAAATGTAGGCATGACAGAAATTTTCCCAAGAAGAATATTTGCTAGTCCCATTCCTCCTGAACATTTTTTGGGTCTGATTCTCATTCAAACATTCCCCCTTTGGGGCTCCAAGGATGAGTAGATTGTGACCATCACATATAGGAACCCTCCAGGGCCCCTCTCTTCATCACAGAAGGCATCAATTAGGGCTTACCTGGGTAAAAAAAGACTTTCTTTTTATATTCAGAGATGGAATATGAGCATCCTTCAGGAGATGAAAAAACTTGAAGAAAAATCCCTGAATTTAGTTCATCTTAAAATTTAGGCTGTCCAAAATTGATGCTAAGGGGTCTGGAAGGGGTTATAATCATGGTCACAACTCACCCTTATTTTGAGCTTCATCCTGATTAAAGGGATTCTATTGAAATTCCTCAACAGCAGTAGAACAGAAGAGGAAACAAGCAAAAAAAGTAAGAGCACAAAAGGACCAAGTGTGACATTCAGAAAGTGCATTAGCCCAGTGTTCCCCACCCTGTGGGTCCACAGAATTTGTTATCTGGTCCTGAGGAAATATTCTTCCACATTATACATTTATCAAAAGTAGCAATGAAGTCTGTCATTTTTTTCTAAACTTAAAAAAAAACTGTGTTAATTGATATATTACCTGATGAAACAAATAAGTTGGCTTCTCTTCTTCTAACTTTTCAGACAAATTTCCACCTGCTGAAAGAAAATACTTGCATTTCAAATTCAGAGAAACCTTTCTTTGAGCCCACCTATGTAATCTGTGCAGACATTTCACTGTGCTGTAGCTGCTTAACTGGTTCTTAATTTATTTTCTCAAAAAGTAGAAACAATTTTAATATCTGTCATAAAGTCTTTCAAGCAAAGCTTTTTTGAGCGTGCAAACATTTTATGAAACTCTGCTAGTTTGTAGAAAAGTTTTGGAAATTTGCTGGTCCAAAGAAAAAATTCCATGGAAATTTGCCACCCCAAAGGCCACAAAGGTTGGGGAACACTGTCATTAACCAATTATTGTCAACAAAAAAAAAGATAAAATCAACTTGACCAAACAAATAATCTGATATCAACTTTTGAAAGTTGACCTAACTGAAAATAACCTCCCCTTATCATACGTAAGGCTTAGCCTCTACCCAAATAGTTGGCATAACTTCAACACCTAACTAAAAAAAAAACCCAACTTTCTAATTTGAGAACTTCTTGTTTTGAGACTTGTTGTTTACTGCACTTCATGTATCATTTACTCAATGTTCAGCACATTCTTTATTATCTGCACATTCTGTACACCAGATGCTTTTTTCTATTTCCTGTATGGTTTAACCTTTTTTTTTTCTCTTGAGCATCACAGAGAGGGACATGTTTCCAGGACCCTTCAAAAATACTGCCAGAACACTTGAAAAGCAACAAAGAGACAGAAGTCTTGGCAAAAATCACTCAAGATGTAAGAATGCATGAAAACCTTTCTTTTCTTTTCATATGCCCATTCAGAACATACAAAAAATACCCTACACTAGGTTCTTCACTCCCAACCAGCATGAAAAAAAAAAATCAGTGAAAGTATGCACAATAAGTGCTGAAAAAATATGTACACATAAGACTTCAAACATGTTTTAATCTCTTGTCAGCGCAGATCCAAACCCTAAATAATAAAAAACGGGGGAAGGGGCGGGGGTCGGTTGGAGTGTCCTGCTCAGCATTTATGGACCCGTCAGCTGGTCATAGTACCACCAGCACCAGCAGCAGCACCAGCACCAGCAACAACACCATCAGCAGGGCCACCAGCAGGCAATGACGACCAGCCAGGAACTGATTGCTGTCCAGTCTGTCATTGCTGGGGACTTGCCGGTCATTGATGACGTCATGGCCACCACGTCCAGTCGCGAAAATGTCGAGTCCCTCGAGTTTGACGACTTCAAGTTGTACGAGGACCCAGAATTCCCTGCCACGCCCGGATCGGTGTTCAGAGAAGGCACTATTCCCAGTAACGTCAATGTCGAGTGGAAACGACCTTGCGTAATTAAATCTTGAATTTATTTTGTATACGTACAGTCGAAACACTACTCTTAATTCAAATTGCAAGGGGACTAGCAAAGAAAAAAAAATATTGACTTGGGGAGGTTCCGAGTTGGGAAAAGAAAGAATTGAAGGAAATTGTTAATGGTGATATTCTGGGATAAAATTGGACTTGAGGAGGTTTTGAGTTGGGAAAAGAAAGAATTAAAGGAGATTGTTTAATGGTGATAAGGGCTTTTAAATTATTTCTTGAATGAGCTGACAGGATGCTGAACTTTTCAGGAAAAGGGTTCATTTCCCCAATCATATCATCACTTCCGATTCAGACTCCCAAAAGAAAGGCTTAATATAATCTTCCTTCTTCTTTTCTTGCATGTTTTTTTTTAATCTGGAAATAACGACCTTGCGTAATTAAATCTTGAATTTATTTTGTATACAGTCGAAACACTACTCTTGATTCAAATTGCAAGGGGACTAGCAAAGAAAAAAATATTGACTTGGGGATGAGGTTTTGAGTTGGGAAAAGAAAGAATTAAAGGAGATTGTTTAATGGTGATATTCTGGGCTTTTAAATTATTTCTTGAATGAGTTGACAGGATGCTGAACTTGAAAGAAAAGGGTTCATTTCCCCAATCATATCATCACTTCCCATTCAGACTCCCAAAAGAAAGGCTTAATATAATCTTCCTTCTTCTTTTCTTGCATGTTTTTTTTTATCTGAATGTAAAATGGGTGAAAACACAAGAAGTATAAAATTTAATCCATCCAAGAGCAAAGTCTCAAATGACTATTTGGCAAAAGGAACACCAAATCTGCATTATACCTTCAGGAATTCAAAAAAAATAATTTTATTTCAGGAAATTGTGGAGCAGCCATACATGTATGGAGACAACTTTGAGCAAAGTGATATCATGCCAGGAAATTTGGCAGACTGCTGGTTTCTCAGCACTTGTGCAGCTGTTGCTAGGGAGCCTCAGCTGATCCACAGGGTGAATAAAAAAAATTTAATCCCCAACTTGATCAAACTATAAAAAAAATATATATATATATATACAGTATATATATAAGCAAATTCACTCCTCATGCAAATCCCTATATCACATTCCTTTTGCACCTGGTCTCATCTAATATCTGATACAGTATTTGACTTACACTCTAAGAACATGTTCTGGGTCAGGTTTACTCTCTCCACAATAAAATTCAAGGGATCAGAAAAACTTGCGGAGAGAATTTGGTTGTTGGGAACCCCTAACACATGGGGAAATAACTATATATGAGACCATGAAAACAGTTCGCAGACAAAAAATAATTTTAGATAATATCATTGCAGAAAGAGAGACTCAACCTGTACTATTGCCAACTGACATATGATGTACCACAATTGTACCACTTTGAGCATACTTGGAGGCACATTTCCAACAGCTAAACTACCTTAAAGGGCATACAGTATACATAAATTAAATTATGAAAAATCAATCACCAAAATCTTGAGGTGAACTGTATGCACTTACAATGAAAATAATCCTTTAATTTTCCAACCAAAAAACTAATTGTCTTTAAATTTGCTACTTCAAAAGCACAAATAATTAGAGTATTGTAATTTTTTCTGAATAAACAATTAAACGAGCGAAAGCTGGAAACAAGTATATGAGCATATCGAAAAAATTTGGGAAACTCCACCTAAATTTTTTAAATAAAATGCAAATTTCGCAGGCAAACACGATTTTTTTCGGCGTGCAAAAAAAATCCTCGCTTATTTTATTTTATGTGAGAAAAATTTATAACGAAAATTATATCATAGCAACATTCATTTTTTCGCAGATCGTCCCTCCGAATCAGCTGCTCTACGGAGAACAGTACTCAGGGATAGTTTTTGCACGATTTTGGCGCATGGGACAATGGGTCACTGTGTACTTTGACGACCGACTTCCGGTGTCAGCTGACGGCAAACTTTTGTTTGCCCGCAGTTCTGACAAGAACGAGTTCTGGATTTCGCTCCTGGAAAAGGCTTATGCCAAGTAATATTTTAGGGGGGGGGGGCACGAATATTATTTTACAGTAATAATTAAATTAAAAGTAATTCAAAATCGTCTCTCCAATTTGAAAAAAAAAAACTTGTTCTAATTGGAAGACCGGAATCCGAAAAGTTTGCTGAAAGATTAGCGCTAAATGATCAAATTTGAAATTCCCTCTTTTCTCTGAATAACCCACAGAAAAATGGCAATTAAATTTTTGAAATTAAACGGAATCGCTCAAGTGTTTCTTATCGTTAATGAAAAGCTTTTTCGATATTCATGACTAACTTCAACTTTCTACCAAGATTATGACTTTATTTTGTTGGCTTTTTATGTTAAGAAATACAGTATAAAATGAAAAATAAATAAAAATGGCGCACATCTTTATTTTTGAATTCGAATAATGCGTCTGACATTAAAAAACTCTTTTAAATTTTTAAATCAAATCCAAATAATGTAAGAAATTTTGATACCTTTTGAAACCGAATTCAAATAAAATTTGGAAAAAAATACAACAGGAACGAGGAAAAATTTCTCAGTCAAAATGGAATGGAAATGATTTTTTGCATGGTGCAATATAAATAAATCTGTTGGTGCCAAAATTGACTCCACAAAAGACAAACTTTCAGTTCTTTTTCCTTCTTTTTTGAAAATGCGTTGGCAAAAAAAAAAAACAAAAGGTTGTACGGGAATTACGAGGGACTGGAAGGAGGTCACACTGTTGACGCTTTGGTTGACCTGACTGGAGGCATCGGCGAGAGATACGACCTCAACCTGATCCAACCCGACATAGCGACCTCTATGAAGAGAGAACGGCTCTTCAAACGCATTTTTCAGGCAAATTGAATACTGTATTGATTTCCTTAAAAATTTAAACACACAGTATCAATGAAATCGATCAACTTCCAACTGGCGGATCAATAATTTTAGGTCCACAACGAGACAAAATTATACAAAATTATTATTTTGAAAATGTATACCTCGGCCTCGGAACGAAAAGCGGGGAAATATTTTTCAAGTTAATGCCAAAAACATTAATATGAACACACAAAATTCCAGCGCACAAAAAGCATGAAATCCAATAGTTTTTTGTGCATTCAATCTAGATCTGACGAAAAAAAAAAAAAGCGGGGAAATATTTTTCAAGTTAATGCCAAAAACATTAATATGAACACACAAAATTCCAGCGCACAAAAAGCATGAAATCCAATAGTTTTTTGTGCATTCAATCTAGATCTGACGAAAAAAAAAACAGGGCAGAATTTCGGGGTTCTCCAACACGCGTATAAATCTTAGATACTTTTTTTTCAAAAGTGGGGCATACAATTCAAAGGATATTTATTTTCTGCAAAATTTCTGCAGTCTTTTTCTAAGTAAGAATCGAGAAATTTGAAGCTTTTTACAACTGACACGATGGATCAGCGATGAACATATGGAATTGCAAATTGAATCAGATTTTTTAGGACTTTATTTTCGCAAAAAACATTTAAAACGTGCCGAAGTGAGAGTGAAACCATTACAGGTATTCATTTTATTTTGGCACACTATTCAAAAATATATTTTTAATTAATAAAACTGCACATCTTTTATGCAAAAGAGCAAATTTAAGTCGTTTCAGTCGAATCAAAAGTATTCGTGGAACATTTTCTGCATACTGAATTAAAAAAAATGGGACACCTCTAGAAAATACTAAAAGGGATCATAATTTTGAAATTGCCATTTGTTTCATCATTTTTTAAAAAACAAATTTAAATTTCAGGCGACCAAATGGAGTGCTTTCATCCCATGCCGAAGAGAACCTTGCGTCGAACACACGACACTGAAGGACTCTNAAATTGTGGAGCAGCCATACATGTATGGAGACAACTTTGAGCAAAGTGATATCATGCCAGGAAATTTGGCAGACTGCTGGTTTCTCAGCACTTGTGCAGCTGTTGCTAGGGAGCCTCAGCTGATCCACAGGGTGAATAAAAAAAAATGACTCGCCAACTTGATCAAACTATAAAAAAAAAAAAATTATATATAAGCAAATTCACTCCTCATGCAAATCCCTGTATCACAATCCTTTTGCACCTGGTCTCATCTAATATCTGATACACTATTTGACTTACACCCTAAGAACATGTTCTGGGTCAGGTTTACTCTCTCCACAATAAAATTCAAGGGATCAGAAAAACTTGTTATGGAAAGAATTTGGTTGTAGGGAACCCCTATCACATGGTGAAATAACTATACTGTACAGTATATGAGACCATGGCAACAGTTTGCAAACAAAAATAATTTTAGATAATATTGCAGAAACAGAGATTTCACCAACTGAGATTCCTATTGCCAACTGACAGATGATGTACCACATACATTATTGTACCACTTGGAGCATACTTAAGGGCATATTTCCAACAGCTCAACTACCTTACAGGGCATATACATAAACTAAATTATGAAAAATCAATCACCAAAATCTTGAGGTGAACTGTATGCACTTACAATGAAAATGATCCTTTAATTTTCCAACCAAAAAACTAATTGTCTTTAAATTTGCTACTTCAAAAGCACAAATAATTATAGAGTATTGTAATTTTTATGAATAAACAATTGAACGAGCGACAGCTGGAAACAAGTATATGAGCATATCGAAAAAATTTGGCAAACTCCACCTACATTTTTTAAATAAAATGCAAATTTCGCAGGCAAACACGATTTTTTTCGGCGTGCAAAAAAAATCCTCGCTTATTTTATTTTATGTGAGAAAAATTTATGTATCGAAAATTATATCATAGCAATATTCATTTTTTCGCAGATCGTCCCTCCGAATCAGCTGCTCTACGGAGAACAGTACTCAGGGATAGTTTTTGCACGATTTTGGCGCATGGGACAATGGGTCACTGTGTACTTTGACGACCGACTTCCG